TTGAGCTCCAACATAAACACGAGTTGATTTCACATTACATCTGTATTGCTGCCGCATATGAACATATCGGTGTTGAACTCATTCTAAAAATATTTAAACAAGTTATTATTAAAACAGCTGGAGTTTATACTCAAAACAGACTAAAATTATCACACAAGTGTTTATAAATTTGATACAGAATAGTTTCAACATGATTGCCTCACAATTATACTAAATGCTTGAGGTGAAAATGTGACTTAGAATTAAAAATTCAGAATATAAACAAATAATGTCAAACAATATCACCGAACTATAGAACTAAATATCTCTCAGTCACATCTAACATGATCTAGTGATCATTTGTTTCGTCATGACACATACAAAAGCACATAACACATGACAAGTCGTTCTCAATACTAGTGGATAGATGTATTAGCTCACTTTTGATTACATATTGAAGTTTCATATACCAGGACATACTTCTTGATAACTCCAAATGAAACTAAAAAGGTATATATGCTAGGGCTGGGACAGGTAACTCGGGTGGGTACTGAGTAGGACCTGGGTACCCATTGGACTACACGGACCCGTGGTTAGTCACGTGATATATTGTCTAATGACAAGAACTCTTTGGTTACACTACAAGTCACTAATGTTCGCATTTCTTTCTGACTATGCACCCATTCCTTCTGATTTTTCATATTGTTGAATAAATATAACTTAATTCAGCCTCAGTTTATGAATAACCAGATTGTATAACACATGTATCTAAATACGTTTTGACAGGGCTATTCTAAAAATGTTCCCAATCGACCATTTTGAGACATCACTGAGACCTACAGTGGGTACCCGTGTAGGGTCGGGTAATAGGGGGGTGGGTACCCGGGTAGTAAATTTGGACTCGTCCCAGCCCTAATATATGCATTATGTGAAAACAAAAGTAGCTGTATCATACCCTTTGTCCAAATACCCCAAGTCGGTTACAAAACAACGCTTCATGAAATATGCAAGTACATAAATTTGTGCCTGAATATATATCAAGTATCATTAATAAAAAGGAATCTGAATTAGTTAATTTGGTCATCAGGCACACCAGCTGACACTCTCTTGGCGACAGTCCACATATTTGATGTTGTAAAGCTGTGTTAGGTTCACTGTATTTCCAAAACAAATTAACTTCACTTTAACAACAATTTACCTATTTTCTGTTCTTGCCAGGTTCACTGATCGTAGTATAAATATGATTTCAAATCAATTTGTTTAGAAATTCAAAAACTACATATGATTACCATCTCACCCATAATGCAGCACTTCTATCGGCCTTTTGATTTTGAGAATATATATACTGACGGACCGGTTGCCATGTTGTATTTCACATCTTCATGCTCGATCAATAAACCTGATTCAATTACTCAAATTTACAAAATAAAACATGGCGGCAGTCAATTCGGCAAACACCAGGCAGCCCATTTCAAAGAGGCTGCTTTATAAACAATTGGATGTCCTGTTGACAGAAAATAACACACATATTTCATAGCATAGTTCCATTTGATTACCAAGACAACACTTTGTAAGAATTTGTAGAATTTCCATTATTATCAGACTCATACCGATTTGCTCTGCCAGCGGTAAATACGAACAAATTATCTACATCATGCAACAACACGTTGATTGATCTCGGACACCAGTCTCGACTGCAACACATTCAGCACACACAGGTCAGCTCAGCAGAGTTCATCAGTGTCGAAATTCTCTTTACAAAAATTGGTCAGTTTCAAATGGCTTTCATTTGTTAAATTAAACAATATCATTGTTGTTTATGGATAATATTTCTTTTTAATTCGGAATAGTTTCCATTGGAACGGTAAATAGTAAAACCAATAAATTAGTTTTAGTAAGTTTCAAGTTATGAATCCAAAACACTTCTATTTGTCCTCAATACTTCTGTATACACGTCGTTCCCCTTGTTTGTGACCACATACTACTATGCCACGTAATTGCTATTCTTTATCAATGGACCCGTGAAGATCCGGGGTAGAATAGGTCTTCAGCAACCCATGCTTGCTGTAAAAGTCGACTACGCTTGTTGTAAAACTCGACTAACAGGATCGGGTGGTCAGACTTGCTGGCTTGGTTGATGCGTGTCATTATATCCCAATTGCGTGGATCGATGCTCATGATATCAATCACTAGATTGTCTGGTCCAGACACGATTATTTACAGACCTCCGTCACATAGCTGGAATTTTTGCTGAGTGCGGCGTTAAACAAAAAACATCACATCACATCTTAATTAATGAATCAAGCAAACTCCTGGTTCGAGTGAGTGGTCAGACCAATGAGCGCTCAGCTTACATATGGCACTGTTTCTTGCTGTGAAACGTGTGCCATCACCTTGACTCTAATGTCAGGCAGTGGTAGGGTTCGTACAAAGTTCACCTGCACAGCGCAGGTCCATTTGCCGTTCCATGAGTCATAAACAGCCTCACTACAACGCTGCACAGTGGCCATATGTAATCATGGCTGACAGAGGAACGCAGTGGATACAATGACAATGACTTCTGACTAGGAGGCTGCAGCAGTTATTATTGGGAGCGAGTGAATGATGTTTTAGGTGACGGTCAGCAATTTAAAGCAGTCACTATTCAAATATCTGCCAGATAAAGCAGTAGTTGACAGCATGAGCTTCGGATTCATTCTATTCATCATAAGTCTGCCCTTACGACAAAATTGACGAAACCTTCTCTGCCCCAGAATGACCACTGGGATATCACATTGATCATCAGTGCACATGTCAATATGTTTCACATTTCTATGGATTACGACCATCCTTTCCTCGTTGAGTTAGAAACTGCTGTCCGAGATCAACCACCTTATAAGATCTACAGATCATCACATAGCACTAGCACAAGATAGACCTTGTATAATGTCAACATTTGTAGATAAACAATTTCATATATCATAAATTACCAAAGAACCTGGCCTGGAAATATGCACACAATGCAAAAACCATCACCAGATTCAAAATAATGATTTGTTTAAAGCTTTCATTTGCTACATCTAATGTATATACGCATGTTCCTTCATTGCCTGTATCATGTAAGGCTGTTCAACATCCTCTCTGAATATCATTGTATTCTGTCACTGGAAGACATTGCCACAAATTCTGTGTTAAGTCATTTCCTATAATTACTCACACTCTATTCTTTCATATTACTTTTGTTAATCGTTAAAACGGAACTGAAAGGCTTGTACACCTTGAGTCCTTCAGTGACGATATATTCAATTGTTTTTGTATATCTTGAAAATAATTTGGAAAAAATACATTTTGCAATATAAGTCCTATACTGAGCAGTCAACACTATTCCCCTACAACTAAATACAAGAGCAGAGCAGCTAGACGTGGGAAACAAATCAGAAGTCCTCAATTAAGTATGGGGGTCAACAGTCTGTAAATCCTTCATCTTACAAATATAACCCTTTCAGGGGTTCTACAGTTGAGTCAATAAATATCAGTTCTAATCATCATATTTTCACACTGACGAGAATGGAATCTTCATTGTAGGTATGAATAAAGACTTGAGTGAAGTCAACTTGACCTACTCATAATCCCTGCACACCACCAGCACTATTGTCATTGCAAAGTGGGATTCCCTTAATAAAAGAATTTTTGAGGATGTCTACATTTTCAAAATTAATTTTGGAGGTGGGGAGACATAGTGGTAACCAGAGAATTGGGGTCGTGTACCTGGGTAAGGTAGGGTAATAGGGGGGTTGGGTTTCAAGGTAAGGTAGGGTGATAGGGGTTCAGATACCTAGGTAGGTAGGGGGTCAGGTACCCAGGGGGGATCAGGTACCTTGGTAGGTAGGATGATAGGGGGTCGGGTACCAGGGTAATAGGGTGTTGAGTACCCAGGTGAAGTCGGGTAATAGGGGGTCAGGTACCCAAGTAAGGTAGGGTAATAGGGGGTCGGGTACCCAGGTAAGGTAGGGTAATAGGGGGTCAGGTACCAGGGTAAGGTAGGGAAATAGTGGGTAGGGTACCCAGGTGAAGTCGGGTAATAGGGGGTCAGGTACCCAAGTAAGGTAGGGTAATAGGGGGTCAGGTACCCAAGTAAGGTAGGGTAATAGGGGGTCAGGTACCCAAGTAAGGTAGGGTAATAGGGGGTGAGGTACCCAGGTCAAGTCGGGTAATAGGGGGTCTGGTACATTTGGACTTGTAAAAGCCCTAATTTTGTTCATTTAATTTTAAGAGAACTACTCCATTGAAACCCCTAACCAAAAAAGTCAGATTATCTGCCTCAATTTGAATAATACGAAAGGAAACATTCCATCAATATTTTGTGGGCCCAAATCGGATGCAAAATCCTATGTGCTCCTAAACTCCACTCAGTATCATATCGCAATATCAAATCATGGCCCCATTCCACAAAGTGCTCTTAGACATAGTTGTACAACAGTCAGCACCAAGATGGCTTCATGGAACAGAGTTCAGGACTTGATCTTAATTACAATCTCATTAAAATCAGACCTTACATTTTGCTACCGCCAAACAAAGATCTGAGGACATCCCATTACGGGTCATGTCAGAACGACCTTTCATCCGACCAATCAGAGCGTCGCTTACCAGATCATGAAAGTGACAGTCAGAATGTGATTTCTAATCATGCAACCACGAAAACTTTAACGAGGGGTATTCCGAACGATAGTTATGGGTTTAACAACTGAATCTGGACCATCTCTTAGCCATTCCAGAATGTTCTTTTGTTCGGGTTTCAAATTTTTAATCGAGAATTTGTCAAAATATGTTTCGAAGTGTTGTCGCCAATTTGAAATTAGTGCCTTAACACACGAGAAAGCTGCCTTCTGATTGGTCATTCCGTTGGTCGGTCAAGGTTCACGCAAGGTCGGTCTGACGTGACCCGTAATGGGATGTCCTCAGATCTTTGTTTAGAGGTAGCGAGAACTAAGATCTGATTTTAATGAGATTGTCTTAATTAGTGAGTAGGGTTTTACGCCGCTTTTAGCAATATTCCAGCAATATCATGGCGGGGGACACCAGAAATGGGCTTCACACATTGTACCCATGTTGGGAATCGAACCCGGGTCTTCGGCGTTACGATCGAAGGTTTTAACCACTAGGCTCCTTTTGTCTTAATTAAGGATTGTTAAACTTACTGAATGATTAGAAGGAGAAATGTTTCAAGAGTTCAATAAAATGTAACAACAGTAACTGTAAACATGTAACAAAACACTGTTTAGAGACATTAGGGACACATTTCTAATGTTAAAGGAAAAGAAATCTTATAGTTCTAATGTTCAGGTGAGGTGAGCTAAAATCATATGCATTAAATATGTAGACTACTCATATATCAAGCCCCAAACCAGAGCACGGTGATTGAGATTTGGTGAAACAAACAGACCTGTTCAACTGCTGTAAAAAAATAGATATACAAGTCCTCATCTGATGTTTCACAACATGGAACGGTAGACAAGGAGCCAGATCACTCTCCCACCTATGTACAACCATATAGTATAGTAATTGGCACACAAAGATGAAAATAAACAATCTCTGTAAAAAAGGAAAAAGACCAATGCACATTCACAGGCTGTTCTATACACAACAATTATGACTTGTATACTTCTCACATATACAACTTTCTTTTTATAGGATTTGTAGGTTAAATGTCATGAAAATGAAGTACTTCTCCAAGATTGTCAATCCTAAAACTTAATGCAGACAGACATATATGTATAGTACATATAAGATATTTGATAATAGTTACCTCAATTAAATCTTACAAACACAAAATAACATAACAAAACAGCTTTTGACAGGTCATCATTTTCTAAATATGGCTTTAAGGGCTTATATCATGTTTATCTCAGGACGTATAGTCTTGTCAGGTTTCTTTGTCCAGGTTATGCTCTATGCGACTTACAGGGTGATCTAGTGTGTAGAGACAAAAGACTGTTTTTCTGGAAAATGTGTCAGGAGAGTTTCCCTAGATTATCCATGAATCATGATGTGAACACATTTCATGAAAGGTTTCATGAAACGTTAACTTAGCACTGGTGAAAAAATACCATCACAACATAATATCAAAAGAGGCTAAAAGGATATTCATATTCTGAAAACATGTCTACACAAACAAGGCAGAAGTCTGTATAAGAACATGTGCCTTCACAAGTCTGTGCTCAGTTAAAGTGTATGATGAAAATAATAAAACTACACACAACAATCACCTGGCCTTGTGACAAACACAGATATGTCATGATCAGTCCAATGTTGTCGATGAAATCAGTTAATGGTGATGGTTTCTGGAAACAGTGATGATGATGATGGTGGTGATGGGTTTGATATGAACTGAAGGAGTTCCTCGGGATTCTCCGACTGTTTGACCAACTGTTCCTCCAGCAGAGTCTCCTCGATCTGAACCTTGTGCCCTGGCAGTTCCAGCTGCATGATGCCTTCGTCACCCAAGTCCTGCTTCAAACACACGGTGCCAGTAACCGTCTGCTTTCTGCATGGCGTCTGCTTTGATGTCTGCTTACAACTACCATCTGAGTTCTCATCTATGTTCTTCTCGAGACTAGATTTGGATGAAATTTGAGCATCTGAAGATGAGGAAGAGTTTGAACTATGTTCTTTGTTTGGTGATCGTGGTAAACTATCTGGGGACATGTTTGGAGATTCGATCTCAATTTCTAAATTATTTACACCATCGGATCTGATAAATGCCTGCATTTTTAAATCATCAATGGTAATTGTCACATTGCATTGGTCCTCTCGAGAGATGTTGTTGATTTGCTCCAAAAGGTCATCATCAACACGAGACTTTGGTAGAGGTACTTTAGAATTCAGCTGTTCCTTGTCTGACACAACGACAGACTCAACAGAACTACGACCACTTTCTTCTGCATACTTTTCACGCATCAGTTCTGCATCATTCTTCTTTGTTAGTCTGAAAATATCAAACTTCTTACAATCTTCTTCCTCATCTTCTGTTTTTCTTAAATACTGGTCCCTAAATTGCGACATTTGACTTGCATGCTCTGAAAACACTGATGATGGTGGTGGCAAACGAGCGTGGTAGATGAATGGTTCGTTAGGTGGTCTGAATGGAGGGTAAAGGCCTCCTGGATATATGGCAGTGTGGGGAGAGCCAAATCCACCCGCAGAAAAGGTACTTTGAGGGGGTGGATGATACTGACCCAGAGGGATACTGGCTAAACTGGTAGCAACAGGAGGTGGGGGAGGGGGGTAGAAAGGTGGAGTCATGAGTGTCCCTGAAGGAGTTGAAGAATTAAAGGAATGAGGTCTTAAGTTGGAGTTGTATGCAAGATGTGGATGGAACGCTGGCTGTGTGGGCACGCTGTAGCGACATGCCTGTGGTAAACCCATCTGCGTGGATGACACAGACTGAATATTGCCTGGTGGAAAGCCATAGGGAGTCGGTAATCCGTGTGGAGGTATCACATGTCGGGGATGGCCATACTGCACAGGCCCGTAGTGCTCAGGCCCAAAATGTCTCAACTGTTCTAATGCTCGAGGTCCAAGTTGATCAAGTGTCCGAGGTCCAATTTGATCCTTAGGCAACTGTGGTATCTGACTGTTCTGCAAATGTTGTAAGTGGTTAATGCGCGCTTGATAATGCCCTGATGGCATCTGTCTCAACAGTTCCGACTGTGCTGGTGACACCTGACTAGCTGGAGGAGAACGCACAGCTTCTGTTGACATGGGCCTGACATCACCCTGGAGTGACCTTGGTCGTTCTACAGAATGTGACCGCATTGATTCCTGTGAAAATGGCCTGACGTTGTCGGGTGTCATATGTCTAACATCTGCCTGGAATCCTCGAAGAGGGTCTAAGTGTTGCTGCCGTGATGAGTCAGGTATTGAGGACTGAGAATTTGGTCCTGGCGGGCTTGGTCCCGGAGGACTTGGCCCATGAGAGCTTGGAACAAAAGGAGGACTGGCTTGAGGCAGACGACATGAGTTTATTTCATTTGGGGACTGAATTGGTCCCTGATTTGGCGACACACACATGACAGGAGGAGACGTGGGATGCCCCGAAGGTGGGACTTGAATTGCTGGTCTGGGAAGGCCGTTATTACTACTCAAACTGTCAGAACGGATCCTCGGCATTTTCTTCCTCAAATATAAACACTTTCGATAAATGCAGGACTGTTTTAAAACATCCCTCCTCAGGCAGAAGTGACACTTGTCACAGTTCTCCTTCACCTGGCACGGTCCACACTGTCCACATTTGCGCCTCCGCTTCAGCCTCAGCTTCCCACCACCATCCTGGTATTCATGGTACTCAGAGAAGTCCCCACTCTCATTGGGACTTAGCAGCTCATCATCGCCATACTCGGAGTTATCAAGCTGAACCACAAACTGCTCATGTTCTGTCTCTATTTTAATGGGTAGCTGGTTGAAGTCGGCCATTGCTTGTTTTCAGATCTGAAAAAGAGATTTGTTCGAATTAATGACAGTTCTAATGATGACCATAATCAATGATTGATCCTATACCATGTATACTACTGCGATGGTCACCACACAATAATTCAATTTGTAAAAGGACTATTAGAAAAGATTATAATAAATGCAATCAAATAATCAACCTTTCATGAAATCATCATTGCTCAATAAGTAAAATTCATGGTAGATATCATTATTTATCATAAAATGGGTAGGTTTCTCGGCAAAATAAAGCCAACGGATAAAAACGATATCCGTTGAGGTCATATGCGGATAGAGATGCAAATATCAAAGGTCAAGTAGGGACTACTTTCACTGTTTATAAACAAACATGGCGTCACCCTCGTCATTCGGCGATCGAGTCGGAATTAACCATCGGGAATCTGCATATACTACAGGGATAATTGCTGTCATTATCAAAAGAACAGTCTAATATTCTGAAAATCAGTGTCTAACTGTGACGTAGCTAGGCATTTTATAAGTTTTGGCAACTTTGGAGATATAAATTTCGAAACAATTTTGCGAGGGCACGAGGCCTAGCCAAGCGGGATCAGTAGCCATATCTGTACTTGTAGACCTCTGCGGCTTGAAACCTTCTCCACAAATTAAAATAGTTGGATTTGGCGAAAATATGTTTAAATTGTTACCTTGTTTCGTTTTGTCGCTGTGTGTACATGTGAACACTATGTATTTAGCTCGCCAAGGCTTGCTAAATACAATGTTTATTCCTAATGCAGGATATTTACCATCCCCAAACACACTCGCGTGATAACCTCTATATATAACCAATGTGTACTACAAAGCAGAGGCCTGGGTTTAACCCCCATGGTGTCAGGCCATCAGCTGGCTTTGCATACTGCTCAGTGCCCCTCTGTGATTACCTCGCGGTTTTAAAAAATGTATACAAAAGTGTTACAATGTTCTGATTTCTTCAACATGCAACTAAAGTCAACAAATCCAAAAGATCTATGCACTGCCTCGCCATCGATAAAAGTACTGGTATTATAAGTTTCCTACTTTCGTACATTATGTTTCATAATATGGAGGAACCCATATCAGGCAAATAAAGTCACGTCATCGCCCTTGTTTGAAATCTTAATGTCCAATAATTCAAATCACTGAAAGTACATATCCTAACGGTGATAGACATATGACATTTATGTCGAAGTACACATTCATTGAGAATTTTCAGTGATTTAAGTTTACGAATACAAATTCCCGATAAAATTGTCTGTGTTTTTGACGTCAAAACAAAACTGACGGAAGTGGTCATGATTAGTTCTTACGCAGACTGTTTCAAAGATTATGTCACAATACCAATGACCGTTTGGAATGTACGAGGGGTGTTCATTAAAGATTTCCCCTAAACCACTTAGGGTTATCATATTTGGTTGAAATTTCACATGTGTAATGATACATGTATCTATGGGCTATGTCTGAATTTGCAGCACCGAACTATTAATCTTACCACTTTTACAGGTGTTATGATCGAGTAGGGTGTGACAATGGAGCCAGTAAAATACCGAGCAGTGATTTGGTTTTTATATTTGAAAGGTCGCGCACACCAAAAGAAACTTTCGATGAAATGAAAGCAACTTATGGGGAAGATGCCCCATCATATGACATTGTATAACACTGGCATTGCCAGTTCAAGTGTGGTCGGACATCTGAGCAAAAAGCTGCCATTCCTGGTCGCCCCCATTCAGCCATTGATGAGGACACAATCCATGAAGTGGAGACCGCCATTTTGGCAGACTGACGTATAACTGTTCGCCAGTTTGCACAAGATGTCAAGATCAGTGTAGGGTCTGTGGAAAAAAATCATCCATGACCATTTGAACATGCATAAGGTGTCTGCACGATGGATTCCCAGGTTGCTCACACCTTTCCAAAAGCAGGAATGAGTCAATTGCTCAAAGGATCTTTTGGACATGTGCCAAAAAAACAGGCAAACTTTTTTGACAGACTTATCACACAGGATGAAACATGGGTCCATCACTATGATCCTGAGACTAAAGTTCAGTCGATGCTATGGAAGCATGTGGAGTCACCCCCCCCCCCCAAAGAAAGCACGTGTTCAACCCTCTGTAGGCAAGGTCATGCTCACGGTGTTTTGGGACCAGCACGGAGTAGTGATGATGGATTTCTTGGCAAAGGGTACCACAATCACAGGAGCTTTTTATGCTGCACTGCTGCGGAAATTGTGGGACGCTATCAAGCTTCAGAGGCGTGGCATGCTGACCAAGGGTGTCCGTCTCCTGCAAGACAATGCTCCAGTACACAACTGTCATGTTGCCCAGACAGAAGCGCGGTCCTGTGGCTATGAAATCCTTCCACATCCCCCTTACTTTCCTGACCTTGCACCATCTGACTTCCACCTCTTTCCAACCATGAAGTCATTTTTGAAGTGAAAACGTTTCACAGATGATGAAACACTGATTTCTGAAGTCAAGTCCTGGTTTAAGACGCAAAATGAGGGCTTTTACAAGCGAGGTCTTCATAGTTGCATAAAACGATGGGAGAAGCTTGTAACTCTTGGTGGTTCCTATGTGGAGAAAGACTAATACCTGTGCCAAGTTTTATTCCACTAGGTCCATCGGAAGTTGGTCAGGGGAAATCTTTAATGAACACCCCTCGTATATCTTGAAGAAATCCCGGTTACATCCATGTAGGTTTTAGAGTATGTGCTCTTTCATTAGTGATAAAAACAACTTCAGGGTATTTGACATCAGACATTTTCAAAGGAAAAAATGTGGAAGATTGCAAAACAGCCCTAACAACACTCAAATAGACATCACTCAATATCGGACATCAATATTATTTCTTAATGATTATCAAGATTATACTAATGTACTACCACCCAAGAGTAAGTACATGTACATCAGATTGTTTAACATTTTAATGGGCAGCAAATCTATTCAAGAAACCTATTTTTGACCAATCCTAAATCAGGCGCCATATGTCATACAAACATTGCTTTGTTGTGCAATCACACAGACCCCTTAATCATACTTTGGGTGTTACGGTGTGTTGTTAATGGTTTAAACCTAACTTATGAAAAGCCTGTAACGAGATGTAATTGGACAATTTTAATACTTGAATTTGAGTGAGTGAGTATGGTTTTATGCCGCTTTTAGCAATATTCCAGCAATATCACGGCAGGAGGACACCAGAAATGGGCTTCACACATTGTACCCATGTCGGGAATCGAACCTGGGTCTTCGGCGTGACGAGCGAACGCTTTAACCACTAGGCTACCCGACCGCCCCACTTGAATTTGAAAGCTCAAGAAGCGTAGAGTAGGCTATGTTTAATACAAGGAAATGATAACTTGCACAGGTGAAAGGAGGCAATATTATTGTTTTTGCTGTACAAGCATGACAATTTTCAGTAATATCTACATTAAGCATGTTAAGTGAATAAGAAAATTATGAAAACATGAATTACTTCAATTAAAGAAGTGTTCAGTGTATATATAGTTCATGTGCTCAAAACACTGAACAAATTTGTCTCACTATGACCACTAGAAAACATGCATCCTCGTCTCAGCTAGTATTTCGCACTTGTCTGCCTTACTTTGACCTTTGCTCAAAATATACTTTAGGGCCAGTCCATGAAATACAACGTTTTCATATTGTTTTATAAATATGACTTTAGAAGTGTATTTACATGTAGGTATGAAAAGGAAAAGTTTGAAATAGACAATGATCGTTGAACAATGAATTGAATGGAATTATTTGTCAACAAGTATTTGTCACAGAGTGACGAAATATCCCCCGCCTGTACACCATACTACCAAATATGAAGACAATCCAGCGATTAGTTCTTGAGATATTGTGGCAACACCGTTTTCCAACTCCAAAAACAGATTTGCCTGCTGTGACCTTGAAAATGGGGTCAAGGTCACCAAATCTGACAGGTGTATGCGGTGTCTGTATATACACTATAGTTCCAAATATGAAGACAATCCAGTGTTTAGTTCTTGAGATATCGCGGCAATACCGTTTTCTAACTCCAAAAGCAGATTTGCCTGCTGTGACCTTGACAATGGGGTCAAGGTCACCAAAACCGACTGGTGTCTGCGGTGTCTGTATATACACCATAGTTCCAAATATGAAGACAATCCAGTGTTTAGTTCTTGAGATATCGCGGCAACACCGTTTTCCAACTCTAAAAGCAGATTTGTCTGCTGTGACCTTGAAAATGGGATCAAGGTCACCAAAACCGACTGGTGTCTGCGGAGTCTGTATATACACCATAGTTCCAAATATGAAGACAATCCAGTGTTTAGTTCTTGAGATATCGCGGCAACACCGTTTTCCAACTCCAAAAGCAGATTTGTCTGCTGTGACCTTGAAAATGGGGTCAAGGTCACCAAAACCGACTGGTGTCTGCGGAGTCTGTATATACACCATAGTTCCAAATATGAAGACAATCCAGTGTTTAGTTCTTGAGATATCGCGGCAACAAACAGGTGGGACGTACGGACGGTCGTGAATACTATATCCCCCGCTTCGCGCTTTCGCGCGGCGGGGGATAAAAAAGGAAAAATATATCCTTGGTATTGAACTTTGAAAAAAAAACTAGATCTAGCAAACTCGAACAAAAGTTATCATTGTTAATAATTATAAGAATACTACCTCTATTACATTTTTGCCATAAATCCTGTATTTTGGGTTCAGTCACACTAACTTTTCAGATTTTCAACAGACGTCCTCTTCACTGTCAATCACACAGTTAGTTGTTCCCCATATAGCACAATAGCAACCCATGCTATAATGTGTGAAATGGCGGGGGAATCTCACTACTTTTCCCTCATTTAACCACTAGAGGTAGATGAATTGGGGAGGTGGGTGTGAGTACTTCTGATATGAGAGGTAGTATTCTTAGAATTATTAACAATGATAACTATTGTTCGATAATTCTTACGTGCTGATGTCGCTTCCTTTTTATGAGATAATGACGTCTCTCAAGATCTATTT